GAGATGCTTTTTGAGTAAAGGTTTAACTACAGCCAGCTTGAAGGCCTGTGGTACATAGCTGATTATTAGAGATAGTTGATCATATTTAAGATCGAAGAATTAATCAATGGCAGGACTTCTTTGAGCAGTTTTGTAGGAATGGGGTCTAAAAGACACGTTGATGGTTTGGAGGAAGCAGTTACTGAAGTTAACTTCAGAACTGTTACCTGCTGTGTGTCAGGTGCGTCATTACCTGCAGGTTGAGGCTGGCGTCCTCCATCACCCTCTCAGCGAGCGTTGGGATGTAGATTCCTCCGTAGCTCTCTCCGGTCAGGAAGAGCTCATTCTTGCTGTACTCTGGAAACAGGCGGAAGAACTCCTTCAGGGCCAGGTAGTTGTTCATCGACACCTGCAGAGAAAAAGAAAAAGCTGAACACCTGACCTCCGGGCAGCCAACCGGCAGCTGAGTCACTGAGGGTCACTGACCTCTGTGTCATTGGTGGCGTATTTCTGATCGTCTGAATACGAGAAGCCGACGCCTACTGGGGACTCCAGGTACAACATGTTGGCAATCTGCACACAGATAGTCGACCAATCAGCTTTGACCTCAGCCGTGCGACCTCAACAAAAGTCACATGACAGCATACCTTGTTCCAGGCGTACGGGTTGTACTCCAGCGTCGCACCGTCGCCCTGGATCTGAAATGACAAAAGGTCAGAGGTCAGGTGTGGAGTCATAGTATACCTGTAGGGGGCAGGTGAGCAGAGTACACCTACCAGGAAGGGTCCATGTTCGGTCAGCAGTCCGTCCAGCGAGCTGCAGCCGGGGCCGCCGTTCAGCCACAGCACCAGCGGGTCCGAGGGCGGCTTGTCCTGCGACTCAACGAACCTGAGAACAGAAGAAGTGGTCAGCTGACGGTCAGGGGAGGCGTGTCTTCAGGCGTGTCTCAGGTACTGACCAGTAGTGCAGGTGTTTGCCGTCAGCCACACTCAGGTATCCAGAGTACTGCTTGAAGCTCGGCTGTTTCTGCAGACCCGGCAGGTACGTGATCTCGTCGGCCGCTGGGGCCGCTTCCGCGCCGAGCCACGCGGACAGGAAGTAACACGACAACAGCAGCAGCTGCATCTGATAGCAGACAGGAAGTAAAAACATCCAATAAAAATGCTCCTCCTGAGATTTCACCTTTATAATACTGAGGTAACGTCCAGCAGCTGACGGCCACGTGTTCCTTTCACTTTTGTCACACGATCACATGACACAGCACAAATGATGTCATCCCTCCTGCAGGAAGTTACTGATTAGCTCTACTGTCAGTTTTACTGACTCTGAGCAGGTTATCACGGACAGATCACCAGAAACAATCACTGATCACTCTGACTTCACAGAGCTGTCGGAGCCCTGCCACAAAGTAAAATAAATAACCCTAAAAAATCCAAACAAAACAAAAAGTAAATAAATAAAAAGCAGGAGGCCGTCCTCAGCATCGGCCTTTCAAAAAGGAAACAAACTAGAAATTAAACCTCAGTGATGATGTTGAAGTTTTAAAAAGGGTTTTTCATCACATCCAACCCTGATTTTAGGAAAGCGAACTTAAAACACAAAGTTCAAAGTTCACCCGTTCTCTGAGGTAAACCTGTGAAACACGAGCACAGCAGGATCTCACACGCACACGTTAAATTAGGCAGAAATTAAATGAAGACTGGTGGGTTCCTCTGACGGCCACGAAACACGTGATTTCAGCAGGAAGTGAGGTTTGTGTTCGCGGACTGATCACGAGACTTTCTGATTGGGGATCGATCAGAAGTCACGTGATTACTTCCCCCCTGAATGAACGAAAAGTTACGTTTTGGTTGAAAAGTTGATTCTGTTCATCTGGACGCTTTACTTTCGGACGTGAATGAGCATGCGCCAAGAAAATTTACATTTGCAGTTTTTTGAACGGAGTTTGGCAGAAACACGCAGTTCGTGTCAGAATAACTGTTCAGCGACCGGAAACGGGTTTCAGTTTCAACACGAAACGTTTTCGACCCACAATCAGCTCGATTATCGATCAGAAAGCGATCAGTTTCTCAGAGTGCTCGTTAACTGTCATGAAACAGAAGGCAGTGTGTGTGCGAGCCCTGATACTCTCACACACATTTTAAACCCGGAAACGGGGACTATCACGCGCAGCATCAACTTTAACGTCTTAAATCAGACAGAATCCAAACGGACCTCTGAATGGAGACCTCCCTCTTTCACTCACCTCTTCTCTGCGCGTCCACCTGCTTCACCTGGGCTCGTGCTCTGCAAATAAATTGGACAC